AAGTTTCTGCGATTGTTATTTTTTGAATTAGATACAAGAAAACAACTGAGAGTTTTATTTTGTCGAAATTGTCTCTCCCAGCACTGCGACTGTACCTGGTTTGAACCTCCTCTCCGTCCGGCCAACTGGCCAGGCTGCACAGAGACTCATTCAAACCACAGGTTCCATCACGGCCCCTTTTTTGTCATTTACAGCTGTGATTATTATCGAACGAGTATTGAAAGCTTTAGGTACTTAATGGCTATTATATTATAGTAAACAGTCGATTAAGTTAGACTCGTCGTATCTATATACTATATACTAGCGAGCAGGGGTGGCTCCAGAGACATGTTTCTGGGGGTCTAATTTATTTTGTTCTTTTCGATTAGGTATTTTGTAAAGAAGTTCGTGCAATAAATATGAAAATTAAATTTATTTCAGGACTTTAAAGTTCAAAAGTACTTGTTTACAACTTAGTTGAATGTTAAAAAAATCAATTTTTTTTAGAATGCTGAATTTTAGTTTACAAACATTTTTTTCAATATCGATGTTACCCAAAAAATAGCTCTTAGGTTAAATAGGTCGTAAGAAGGTACTACTCACCATTCACCATCCATTACAATATTTACAAAAAAATTTCTTTGTCTAAAGTAAACAAAAATAAAACAAAATAAAATCAATAAAAAAAGAGGGTAAGTAGATGTCGCTCTGCTGTACAGTATTATAAGTGTCTATAGAAAGACGCTGTAATGGATGGTATTAAATTTGAATTCGGTGATATAATATCATTGTATACGAAAAACGATTCTCAGCGGAGACGGTATGATCAGTCTAGGATATTTTTTATTTTGTTATTATACTTTGTATTAATATGGTAGCCGGTAAGTTGAATTAATATTATATTCATAATATTATTCTTAAATTATCAGTGATGCTGGAAAAATATTATGTATACTTATGTAAAATTGGCATGTTTTGGAACCAAACTACGACAAAATGATAAACGTTATTCTTTGTGTTAATGTGCAATTTTGTAAAATTAGAACTTAAAATGTCTGTAAAAAATAACTCTACTTATAAATATCTTAGATTTTTTAATTATGAAAAAAATTGCTTGAGTGGAACCTTGTTTTAAATTTTCAATCCTTAGCTTTAAAAATTGAAAATGTATACTTTTTTAATTACAAAATCATTTTCAATTTTCAATTTGATAAATATTGTCAAAATTTGAACTTTAAATTCTTATAAAAAAAAATCATGATTATGTTTTTTTTAATAATTTTCAACTGATATTGTAACAATATATCAACAGTCAAGTATTAAATGTCATGCTTTTTGACCCAACCAATAAAATTTGATTGACATTTATAAAGGAAAAAAATGAAAAAAAAAGAAAAATTGAAAACGTCCGTCGACAACTTAAAACGAGCTAACATATTTTGAAAAATTTATTAAGTTTATTAATTGATGAAATAAACATATGGTGTAAATTCCAAGTGTCCACAGTAATTCATTTTTGAATTACAACAAAATAAGAAAATCGCTACAAGAGAAATCGAGTTAATATCCAATGTTGTAGAAATTTGAACTTAAAATGCTCATAAAAATTTAATTTGACTTTCCGGTAGAAATTTGTATTTTACTAAAGGTAGACAAGCCTATAAAAATTTTAACATGAGTCAAAATATTTTGAACATTTTATGGTGTATAGAAAATGCTAACACAAATATTAAGTGAAAATTATATGTATCTACTGTCATTTTTTTTACAGTTACATTAAAAACCAAAATTGATTTTTTTTCAAAAACTGGTTTTGCGTAAAAATGTCAGTTTTTCTTAATTTTTTGTTTGTTTTTCCTGTCTTTTTTTTAAAACTATTGGGAATCAAAAATGTTGACCTCCCGAATTGCCCTATTAGATTCACTTTCCTACCAGAATAGTTGCTGTTAAAGAAAATCGAAGCACTTTTACTGTCCCAAACTGTGATGACAGACACAAAAAAAACACACATCGTTGTAAAATCAAAACATTCATCGATCCGTTCAGAATCCAAAATATTTGTTTGTGAGTGTGTACAAAGTTGTGAACAAAGCGGGTGAAGTGAAATACTTTTTAGTTTTTTCTGAGTTGTTGAGTTGGAAGTATTTTATATGTTTTAAGTACATAGCAGTGGCGTAATTATGGGGGGGGAACATATTGATATAGGGATATATTAATCCCCAAAGCTTTTTTTTAAAACTATTAAATTCTTGTGAGCACCTGATTATAAAATATTTTAAGATTTAAAAATAAAAATTAGTAGATGTAGTTTGATGTAATTATGATGTAACTTATCACAGTTAAAAGATGCAACTGATAAAAACGTACAACTTACAACTTCTGATATAATTTTTAACCGTTTATAGAACTATTACTTATACCTTCTAATAAAACTGTTGATATTGTTAATAATTATTATTTTTGATTGCCTAGATTTAGATAACAGTTCAAAGTGCATAGGAATCTCAGCTAAATTATGATTAATAATTATGAATTTTACTACCTAACTTAATAGGTGGACTACCACTACTTAACAACGATGCCATTTTATCGGGACATAAAATTGAACTCTCAAAGACCCCAAAAAAAGATGAACTTTATAATATTATGAATAAAATATTTTATTAAATTGTTTACCTTATTATCTTTGAAAACCATGAGTGAATCATTTATCTCATTAGTTTATAGTAATAAATTAAAATAATATCATAGTGTTCTATGAAATTTAACGACCTTACGATTATAAAAACTTATTATATCATCCCACCCTGGAACAGATTCCTTATTGGGCCACTGGTGCATAGTATAAGTAATAAAAACATTCAAAATCACATAGATACCTAGTATTTGAGTAAAAAAGAAATGTTTATTATGTATTCGTAAGTACATTTATTTTAGTATTTTAAGCATTTACGATTTACATGAGATATGAAAAAAACCAAAACATATTACATTCAAATACTTCTGTATTTTTTTCTTTTATTGGATTGGCCAATTAACAAATTTCTAATCCAACTAAAATAATTCGATAATTATATTATTTTAATAATTTAGGATTTAGTTTTAGATGTGAAACATCTAATACGATGGGTGAGACCGGTTGTTGGCATGGCAACACTCGCATGAGCGGAAAACACTCAACACGCTTGTAGCCACACCCTATATGAGTAGGTAATGACAATGAGCCTTTAAAGTAAATAATAATTTTTCTTAAACATATCTGAATTGTTTTGTAAATAATTATGCCATGCTTATTTCTTAATAAGCCATCCTTTCAATTTTAATGCATATTTTTCATACAAAATAATTTTTATGTTTCACATCTGCCAGGCATCCGACGACGGCTAATTTTTTATTGTGAATGTAAATAATGACTTAGTTATTTTTCAATTTCCTTCATGGATGATATTATAATAGTTTTACACGTGTGCTCAAAAAACCTATTAAAAATGTCAATCGCAACAATATGCAGGCCCATACTTAGATAAAGCGAAGATTTACTCTTTTACTAGTTAATATTTATTTAATTTTGCAGTCTCCAACTTCTTTAAAAATTGTATGCTGCCCTAACGCAATGCATGACTTGTTTGTCCCTTATAATAAGGCCGTGCTAATGTACTCCGCCCAATTAACCGAGGCATGGTAATTAATAATTCTATTATTATATTAAATTGTTTTCTTAGAATTCTGTGTTCCATGGGTGTGTGTAACATTAGTTAAAAGATGCCAAATTAAACGACTAAATATTTTAGGGTATAAATTATATACTGTTTATAGTTTACACTTAACACATTTAATCTAACATTCCTGTATACATAATGTAAAATAATGTGCACTTTGCTGAGTTCTAAAGATAAATAAAAAATTTGGATTATACTTGGAATAGTAGATACTTCAATAATAATAAGCCAAAGAATACCAGGAAATCCAAAAACATAATTTACAATAATACAAAGATTCTAACTTCTGAGATGTTAATTTTATTTTTACTAAATAATTTTCCAAATCCTCATGTGAATGTTACCATATTAATATAGCTAAAAATCCACAATTAAATAAATTAAGTAAATACATATTTTCAGAATGATTATATTGAAAATATGCTAACTTCTATTTACATTTGTAATAATATTGTGTAAATTAAAATAATATAGAAATGCTGATACTATTTATATTTCGATGATATTATAAAACAATTAAATCAATATCAGTTAATTGAAAATGAGCTACATTGCTACAAAATGATTAAATGTATACTAGCGATAATTTAAACACATGTGTAACAACAAGAATAATAACATACGTTCAGACATTAAAGAAAATATAAAAAACTCAAAAATATTTAGATGAAATAAATAGATAGATATATTAAAAAAAATGAAATAGTGTAATATGAAGTAATGACAATAATAATTTTAAAAAAATACAGTAGGATAAATGTATTATATGAGTGCTTCTAAATACTAATATTAAACAATATTCATTTATATAATAATAATAATAATAATAATAATAATGTTTATAATAAATAATACAGCATTATAACATATAATTTCAACAATAATTTTTAATTCGTTCACTATCAAGTATCAATCACAAATCCTATTCATATTAAAGGTATATATACTTAAAATTATGTTTAAAAGTGCTATGCTTGTATTAATAAATATATAAATGTATCGTCAAAACTTAAACATGCAAAGAATAAATAATTTCTGTAAACAAGCGTAATATATTAATATCTTATATAGATAATTAAATATTAATTACCTATAACAAAACAAACTGCTGGAAAAAAATTAGCATTTGATTTATATTTAAACATAAATAAAATAAATAGTAATTATTTATAACAATAATAATTTGATTATAATATTGTATTACTTTAAAATGATTAACATATCTATTAATATAAAAGTGTACGTATCTAAACATGCTAAAAATTTAATTTTAATATTAAAATACTTATAAAACTGTTTCAAACTTCACAAAAATTATTTATTGGATTAATTTTAATTGATCATTCATTACTTGATTGACACACAATAATAATTATGATAATAACAATGAAAACTTTATCACTTATTGTCAAATTATTCCACCAACAATTTACTATAGGAACAAGTGTTTATAAATATTATAATTCCAGTCATTATTTTATAATCGTTTCATTCATGAATCTAGAATATTTTATAAGGATAGTAGATGAATAAATGTGAAATGTTATATTATAAGTCTAATAAATAATAACAATGATAACTATCCATTAAAAAAGTTATTTTAAATAAAAGGAATTTTTAAATGTAATTAGTTATTATGTTATTTAACTATCCCAAATAATATGTGAATAACATTAGAGGTACATAAAGACAGATAGATTATTCAATTATTAAATTGTTGAATTAAAGTAATATAAATAACTATTGAGTTTCTAGTCGTTTTAATAAGTTGATCATTTCAGAATCTTCAATGCATTCATAATACTTCAATCCTTGTGGTGTTAATAAATTTGTAATTGCTCCCTAAAAAAAATTTTAATTAATACAAATAAAACAATTCATATATTTTATTATAATGAAACTTACTTTATCAATTAAATACTTGGCAACTTTGAAATGATTTTCCCACAGAGCACACAGCAATGGGGTTATACCAAAATTGTCCTTCTTCTAAAAAATAAATACAATTTATAATATATATAGTGCATGTAATACATTTTATATTTTTATTCAAATATTGATGAACTGTGTTATCTAATGCTCATCTATGTATAAGGTCTAATGAATAATGGTCTATCTCTAATTTATTAATACTCACAAACTACCGAACTGTTTTCGATAAAAGTTATATCAATAGAATCCTTGAACTTGGAGAATGTTAACAGTTTTTTTTCAACCCCTATATGTGGATACAGGGTAATACCTCACACATTAATATTTTTTCAGATAATGAAATAAAAAATTGTTTTGTGTTTTGTTTTTGGGTTGACATTGGTTACATATTATATAACAATTATAATTAGTAACAATGTGGCATATACATTTTTTTAAAATTTTTCAAATTGGTTTTAAGATATACATAGTTTCTTTAATTGAGGCCATATGTAAAAGCAACAATTTAATACAAGTTTGTACCTAATCTGCTAGAGTAATCAATGTCAACCATTTACATTTATACATAAAAAAGTTTCAATTTCCACTGTGAATCTCAAAACTATTGTTTCAGGACCTCTTTAAAATGTGCATTTTATATAGAAAATCCTTTCTTAGTGGTCTCTACATATTAAAAAATGAACGGACCAAATTTCATGTTCATAGCTTTGGGGGTCGAGGAATCAGTCAGGGCAAGTTATTTTATAAGATATTATATAAATATAATCATTTATGATTTCAAATTCCTATGTCTAAAATCTTTAAATATTGAAACAAATAAAGACTTCATTGTTCTATAATACATTTTAATCTAATGTAAAGCATAAATATCTTCAATTTGATAATATATTATAAAATCAATAAGTAATAGTACTGACAAATAAATTATATGGTTATGGGTTTGGTACATAACATTTTTGCTTTTTAATAATAGATGAAAAATCAGAGGTTTTATATTAAAAATAATGATTTTACGGTTCGATTTAACAAATAACTACTTACATTTATATCAGCACCATTTTGAATTAAGTATTCGACAATATCCAAATGACCGTAATCACAAGCCTTATGTAACATGGTTCTTCCATTTGAAACATTGTTTATATCCCAATCCTAAAATACACAAATACAAGTTTAAAATATTGCTAAATGTATGTAATTAAAATTATATTATTAAATCAATATTAAATCAAATTTGTAATGGATATGTTAACCTAGAACAAGGGCCTCAAACCTACAAAGCTTTTTGAACTGGATTGCTAAACTGAGTTCTGACGGGGTACTGACTATTTTGAAAATGTATACCCATAACATATAATTATGTTAATACTTTCTTATATTTATTTAGGTTTTTTTTAACAACTTATAACAATAGTACATTGCAAGTCTTTGGTCATTAAATAATGTTAGCGTATGTTACAACATCAGTAATAAATGTATTGTTATCTTAACGATTGAAATAAAGCATCGCTATAATATCCGAGAGAAAAAATTTAAGTTCAATTTTATTATTCATAAAGTGTTGTACTGCTTTAATAAAAGATGAAAAATTGATACTGAGTGCTGTGTTTTTAACAAAATCTGTAATCATGATTCTGTACATTATCTGTAATGAAAGATTCAATGAGTTGCTGTTTTGAAAGAATTAATATTGGTAGACATTTTGAAACCAAGCATGCGTCTTATATTACTGGCTGATTGGTAATCTATGATCTGATATGGTTGAAGTCTTAAAATTTGGCCGTAGCTGAAAAAAATTCTTATTGACGGTTAAAGTAATGCATTTTCTGAGACTAAAGAGATTTGTTGTAAAGAGCATTTTTTTATTCACCACTGTTAATTTGTCATTAATTCAATTGCACAACGCTCGAAAAACTTCTAGCACATTAAAATTTTTCATGGAAAAAAACATGACTACTGAAGTTTAAGCTCAAAGTTATCAATCTACATTAAATAAGCAGGTCAGACTGTTCGAAGGAGACATGGCTACAACAGTCTTACATATTTTAACAGAAGGAGTCTTTTCGAAATTAAAAAAAAAATTTTCCCCAGGGATGATCCCAAAAATATTTAAAATTTTACCTATCTACATGATCAGACTTTTTAAAAATGAAATATGTAAAATCTTAGTACAGAAACAACTCATGTGACAAACATTTAGAAGCATTTCTGCAGCTTGAAACAATTAAATTTGATGAAATTCCTAGAAATGTTATCAAAAGAGTCATTCCAAACTTATCATTAAATAGGTATCTTAATGATATGTACATGCACTATATTATTTCCTCTTAAAAATATAGTGAAACAAAATAATAAACAATTCTTCTCCATCTTCATTCTGAATACTTCCCTACCATTCTTCCTCAAAAATTTGCCCACAATTGCAAAACAATTCTCAGATTTTGTCTGATGTAAAAAAAGGTGAAGATCCCCGACTTGGTAAATATCCTGAATACATTTATTATGATAAAATACAATTATAAATTTTAAATTAAAAATTTTAAAAACATGATCAACTATTTTATTTGAAAAATACATTTTGATTTATTCACTTTTAAATGTATTATATTTTGTGATAAAATGTCCAGACTACTAAATTGAATAATGAATTACGATAAAACACCAACAGATTTCAATAAAAAAAAACTTTTTTAACAATAGTGATCACCGAAAACATTATTTTATGTCAATTATAAGAGTATATACATTTCTAATAAGAACCCTACAGTTTGCATTAAAAGTATGTTTTCCATATTATTCTAATAGGTATGTTAACTATAATTGTCTATTGACGACATTCAACAGAGCTTCAAATTAATTCAGATCTACTTTTTTTTGTAAGGTATTCTGAGGTGCGTACATGTAATAAATAAAAAAAATATAGGTATCCACTAATATACTATAATTTGTTTTATTGCATCAATCAATTTATTGTTCACTTTGGAGTATGGACATTATTTAAAGATAATTAAATACGATTTTTTGAGTTGAAGTTGTGTACCCCGTCGTAAAATTATTTCAGAAACAATGTACCAACTAAATAAAAACTAAAAAATGTAAATAGCTCTCAAATTATAAAAATTAAAAAATAGTTACCTAGGTACTAATTAGGTATGTCTTAAATATACTACAGGCATATTATCAATAATAATGTAGCTACTGTTAATACATTTATACAACATGATTAGTGATATTGACTCGAAAACAATTACCCCGTTTTCTTTAGCAAGTCTCTGCAACTGTTCTTTGACCGTGTCAAGATCTCCAATTTGCAATGCCCACGATAAATCTTCACTCGCAACCGCACAGTTCCCATTCTCGTTGGTGCAAACTTCCATCTTTAGGTAGGCACCTATACAATAGGTTGGTAGATATATTATAATGAATATCTTTTTAGACTTAACACAAAATTACCTTTTAATGGGCGGAAAGTCAAAGACAACGACAAGTAATATTTAAAACCGCTTACAAGTCGGCAAACTTCGACGGCGAAAACGAATATCGTACACGTAATAGAATTAAACGGACATAAATTATTCGGTTGACGGTAAGTAGGTAAAGTAGTCAAGTTTACGATTCACCGCTTCCACTTGCAATATTATTATTATTCATCTACCTTATCGCGAAAAAGACACAAAATCCTGAATCATATATTTTTATCAGACCAATATAATTCGTTGTTTTTCTTCGCGACAGAACAAAAAAGTCTGGCTGCTGTTAAATATCCAAAGAGGTTACAGATAGGTATCGTTGGATGTATGGAGGTAAATTAGATAGTAGATACCAGGTAGGTATTATCTATTTGGCGGAGCGGCAAATATAATTTTTCATACCCAACGTTTTGGACTTATGGTGTAGTTTTAATAACAGAAAATAATTAGTTATTAATAAGGCATGGATGTTGTAACTTCTATTAGTGAAAAAGTAGTAAAATTGATTGCAATATTGCTCTAAAAAAATACCGAAAAATGGGATTGAAAATTGCAATTTTAATTTATTTGACAAAGTCTTACAGAGTTTAAACTAAAAAAAACACCTAAAACATATGTTGCTTGAAAAAATGTGTTACCTACATTGACCTTATTCTTTTTTAATTTTTTAACTTAAATGCTCTTTTTGTTTCTGGACAAAATATTTATTTTGATAATTTTAGGAAACCGTTTAAGTAGTATTAGAAAAGTGAAATTACGAGAAGAAATAGTTAAAATAGTGTTAAAAATGAAAAAATTCCCAAAATTGCGAAAAACATTTTTAAATTGCGTTTGTAATTTGCACCAGAATAAAGATTTTTAATTTGCACCATCTTAGGTAGTAAGAAATAGGAAATGTAATTTGACTAAAGAATAAGTTAGTATTTGGTTGAAATAATAAATTGACGCATAATGCAATAGTACTGTGTTATAACTTATAATCATGTTACACGATTACAAAAATGTTTATTATTCGAATAGTTTGTTGAACTATTCGATAATTTTAACTACCGGTAGTGCTCATCATTTATAGATGCTTATTTTGGTGCAAATTAACACTACTTTTGACTGCCAGCAGTGGTGCAAATTACGGGTGGTCGGTAATTGGGCCACATTTTATCTACCTGCTTTGTATAAAATATTTGTTTACTTCTTAGTTTTTTACTTACCAGAGATTGGGTCACATAATAAATCTATATTTTTTAAGTGCGCTCGGAGATTGCAGGGCCATACATATTATATAATACAAAAATATACAAATATACAGCGTTTAATGACTAATTACTATTATTTTTTCTAATACATAAAAATACTATTAATATACTTATATATATAACCGAACCACTTATAATACTAAACGTGGATTGGATAGTTTACAATCACCTAACGATCGCAATGATCTTTGTAAATTACGCATTTAGCTGTTTTTATAAATCTCTTTTGATGGCAACCCTTGCTAATTCTATATTATTTCATTACCTTTTGATAAGGCACGCGATCGCTTTATGTTAAGTTTAGTGTGTATTGTAGTGTTAGGTATTGTAATAATTTATATACGACATGTTAATTTAACGGTGGCCCAATTACCGGGTACAATAATAAAATAATCGTTGAAAATAGTAGACCATCACCGGGTCTACCTGTTATAAATGTAAAACTTTAGGGGCCCAATTACCGACTTTTAACGTAAACTTTTTTGAAAAAAGGTTAATTCTAGCCCAATTCCCGGGTGCCTCAAATAACATATCTTTATTTTGGTGCAAATTACTAACCTCCAATCTACTACCTCCATAACTGTACGATTGCACGCACTGTACTACTACTAATATTGCGATATGTCGATATTATAACATATAAGTACAAATAAGAATGATAACAATATAACATGCTATCTATATAATGACTCCTTAACAAAATCTTGAATTGTTTTTTGTATACAAACTAATGGTAGATGGATGGGTACTCTACATTTTTATTAAATGTTTATACTTGCATTTCTTATTCACCTTACAATTTTTAAAAAATATTTTGAATTTTTTGAGCTATTTATAAACATACGAACATTTCGAATTTTTCTAGTTTTTTTAAATTATCGACGATAAAAATTCGCTCTGTCAAAAAAATTAAAATTTGAATAGAAAGTTCCTATAAGTTGTTGGTGGAAATTCAAAAAAAAGTTGAGCATAAATCCAAAATATTTGTATTTTTCATGAGAAACTGAAGTTAGAATTTTGACAAAAAATGTTGAGTAAATGTATTGTGGGTGCTGTATAAGTATGATAAATGGTAAATATTGTTATCTTCACATGAGCTACTCAAAAAATATACAAATATCTTATTATAGGCCGCTTTATAATGTTATATGTAAACTAAACACTAATATAAATAAAAAATACATTTATAATGTATACTATTTGTTGGTTATAGTTTCCGAGCAATGCAAGATTTATTAATAATTACAGTTTCGTATTTTCTGTTGTAATAATTCATAAAATATTATAAGCCACTTTATATTTCACTAAGTTTTTAATTTTTGACGTGTAAACATTGGTATACATGCCCCTCCTATAAAATATATAATGGCTATAGTAATTTCGTGCAAAGAGCCAACGCCTTACAATAAATACAATTTACTCAACTTCGTCAAATAATTAACATGACAATCAAACAATAAAAAAATATTGTAAAATTGATGAGTACTGCAAAAAATTAAACAACAGTATATTTTTGTACACAATAATTAGGTAACAATATATAATCCGTTTCACCCAATAAGCTTTTAGATATTTACACACATTATATATTATTAATTATTAACTATTAATAGTACTATTTATTATGCTTATACCTAGGTACAAGTATACAACTAACAAGTAGGTACCTATAATATTACTACAATACGCCTATAATAATTAATAACTGTACCTATAGTAGGTATATTAATATCTGTAAAAAAAAATATTAATATCTTCATTACCATATGGCTATAAATTAAACATAGATATGGCTATAAGTATACATAAACGTATTATAATATATTATTACTGAGGCCGACAAAATATTATATTTTACACAGATATGGATAATAAATTATTATTAATATTTGTATCTGTGATATTTTGTGAATGACGTCTGGCAGACAACAGTTTAAACTTTAAACATAAAACAAAATAATACTGTATTACAAATTTAAAACAAAGTTGATTATTAATTACAATGAACGTATTATTATTACAAAATAAAACTCTACATAAGACGTTTTAGATTCAATATTGCCAATAGCTACTTATACTCGGAGAGTAAAATTATTTAATATTATTATTATCCAAGTCTGCATCTTCATCCAAAACACTAGAATATATTTCTTTCAGTTTATTTATTTGTTCTTCGAAGACCTAAAAAAATTGATTTTTTATAATCAATACCGAATTCAGACATGTCATGCCACGGGATAGGCATTTTATAATAAACCTAAATGATCATTTATTCACAATAAACATATATAAATATAAACTGTAAGCTATGCACGTTTTAAAATCTAAATCAAATACAGTTAAACACTCCGGCAAATCGGAAAAAAATAGCCTATTATTTCTACCGAAAACTAAAAACCCTAACAAAAAAAAACATTAAATGCATATTTTAGCGATTTTAAGAGCATATTTCGATTGTTTTTAAGGCATGCAATTCCGGGCCCTAGTTTAGTATTTACAAAATTAAAATTTTTAAGCAAGTTATGACTTTATGAGTACCTACCTACTCCTAGGTATGTAAAATATTTTAAATTATCATTGGTTCATGTTTCAAGGAGAGCATTAAGTCATCCCTCTTAGGCTAGAATATAAATAAAATGCCCCCCTCCCATTGGGAGTGATGAGACCCGCCGTAACCCAACCTTAACAATTTAACATGTTCTATAATAGTTACATTTTTTAATGATATAAGCTATAATAATACAAATTGTGCAAAATGTTTTTGTGGGGCCTATTTAGTGGTTGTTAGCAGTTATTTATTTATTTGGATGAATAGAGATTTGGTGGCCAAACCCATCCGTTTTTAATCCGTATATTAAATTAATATCCCATAATTTATTTATGCAACAGACCGCGGCCCGCGGGGTCTTTCAATGAGCGGGGCCCTGTGCCAGTGCACAGCTCGAACCGCCTTCAAGCGGGCCCTGGTTATAGGTGTTTGTTAGATAGAGACAACGCATGCGGCTATGTGGACGTAAAGCTCTAAGATTTTCTTAAATTTAAATAAAATATATGTATCTAATAAAACCATGACATTTTTTTGTACGTACATTCAATGTTTTTGTGTTCCACTTCGGCCGGAAACGATAAGTTTTTTCTCTAATCACCTTCAGAAGTTCTTGAGATATTAAACCTTTCAAAATATAATGGTTTATAAATATAATAATAATTGCATTGATTTAAAATGAAATAGATTGGTTTTTAAATTTGTAGGTATTATTGTATTCAACACTAATACTGATAAAAAAAGCAAATAAAATATTGTTGTCTTTTATTAAAACGTACAATAAATCAAAATTAAAACATATTTATACTAATAAAAATTTGATTAATATTTTTTTTTAAGTGATGAAACTATTGTTATTGTATTAGTGCCTCTAGTATTATTATAATAAACAATTTTGTATTTACCTAATAATCGACATTGACCTAATCTTAGTTTTTGTACCAAATCCAACATTTCCAAACACAATTTTTCTTTATAAAGCAATTGCTCAAGATTCAAACCTATATCAAAAAATAAACTTCAAATACCTATATTTCACCTCTTAAAAGCAAATGTTACTGTTGTTTTTTGACTTCCAAATAAATTTCAATCTTAAATCAACTACAAATGGACTGTTTCTATAAATATTAAATGACTTTAAGATTGCTTCAAAGCTTTTTGGACAGAATACACTTATGCTTTTCATTAAAGTCTCGATATCTTTATACAAACATATCATTTCTGCGCTCGATACTAATTTTGTGCAAGTCTTGCAATGCCAAATCGACATCTTGTCTAATGGATTGATTGGTAAAATGCGACCGTCACAATTTTTAACTATGCAATTCAGTGCTGCTAACTCAGTTCCAAATTCCTATCGTAAAATAAAAATTATTAATTAGTATGTAGGTACAACGTAACCGTGACTATGATCGTATATTATGTAAACTAACTTCTGTGTCACAACATCTACTGCAGGTGCAAATAAATTGTTTTGACGTCAACAAGTGGTTCTGTCGTAGTGAAGTAGGCCAAATTGAATATGTATAACTAGTAGTAATTTCCTGTCCTTTATATATCGGTAAGGAAGCTTTTGCGATCATCTGAAGTTTTTCATTAAAATTGTGCATTGTGTTTGGAACACAGCAATGGTTCATAAATGCTGCTACAGGGTACAGACCTTTCAAACTTATTAATTTATTGGAACGATTTACTATTGTTTCAAAACAATTAGCATCCATTATTTTACAAGTAGTTACCATTATTTTTTCATCTTCTTTGTCTAATTCCATACTTATGCTTCTTTTCAGTTCTTCTACCTATTTATAGTACGAAATATCAAATATAAACGTAGGTATAGCTATAACTATATTTTGGTAAATAGTAGGTATACATTGTTGAAACATTGTTAGAAATTAATTATATTTTATTGAACACTATTGGATAAGTTCTAGGTATTTCGATTTGAAATGTGTGTCTTTTCTGTTCATTGATAATTGATATACCTAATACAATTAAAGATAATACAAACATAAAAAGTATTATAGATTTAATAAATAGGGCGATTGTAAACTCTCCCGGGTCTGCAATACTTCAGTATTACTAAGCTAGGGGAGCATGGGGTATTATTCGTATTCAGCAGTTGATAAGGTTGGACAACTTGAGCTTTTATAGTCAATATCGTTTTTAATATTAAAATTAAAAATATGTTGGCGGTAATAAAATATTTAAATATTTAAATTACAAATACAGGTTAATGGCAATATAATTGATAATATAAATTTAAAATGATAATCACAATCCATGCACTGTACCCAATTCATAGTGTAGCAATTTTAAAAACAAGCAAGTAAGTAACATTTAAAATAACTCAGTGGAGCTTACACATTTACTTCAGGTGAACAAAAAGTCGACCCGGGAGAGTTTACCCATTTTCTTCAGGTAAACATAATACTCGGGCGATTTTACCATTAGGAGAGTTTACTAGTTTTAAAAATAGGGAGAGTTTACTCTACCTACTATTATAGCAAAAATATATGTGAATTTACACCAAACTTTTTTTAAAATTCCAACATTAAAAACTTATGATGAGGAATCTTCTATTAAATTAACTTAGGTATGAATATTAAAAATTGTATGATTACATTTTGAAATATACAATTATTTTAAAATTTTCGTAATTTTGTCAAAATTTTAACTTTAAATTTGTATACAAAAATAATTTAACAATAAATACTTTTGATAATTCTTGATTGGTAACTGAAAAAGTTAAGAAAAAGCTTATATGACAATTCAAGCTTTTAAATCCAGCAATAACAATTTATCGACATTTATAGAAAAAAAACTAAAGACATTTCAAGTTTCAAATGTTTATAAATAGCTTAAAAAGAGAAAAAATATTTCATATAAAAACATATTAATTTAAAGATTTGGTGAAAGTTTCATGTTTATCTATCCAAAGTTATTTGTTTTTGAGTTAGTTTAGAATAGGTTATCTATGTATAATAACAAAATTGAGTCAGTTAAAAACTGTTTTTGCAATTTGGTCAAAACTATATAACAACTATCAATAATATGATTAATGTGTATACCTACTATTGTCTATTATAAATTATAATAATTCAATAGTTATAAGTAATAATAATATAATCAATGCAATTGTTTTTTCAGAGAAAAATGTAATCAACCAAGGTACTGTAATACTAATTGGAAAAAAAAATTACTGTAATAGCTATATTAAAAAACACATCATGGAATATAGTTAGTAATATCCTAATATAGGCTGACAACCTGTTTTTGCTTTAAATTTCGTATTTAGGTAATAATTGTTCATTGAATTCAAATTCAATGCATACATTACAATTACTTACCCAATGACGAGGTATACAATCGACACCTACATACTGCAAGTACAGCAGAGGGGTAGTGCTTTCTTTCTTTTTTTAAACTTCTAAAAGACTAAAATCTTAGACTTCAGAAGCAGAACATTTGTTTTTACATAAAAAAATTACAGAACTGAATATTGATGATTACCTAATATTGTATGGACTTTTACGGGACTAATTTTTATTATTTTTCATTTGAATTGACCTTTTCAGGGCACATATATGCATAATAGGCATTTTAATTGGAACGATGGATGGTAGGGAAGGAGATATAGCTACCAATGATAAGATTATCTTTCAAAGTATTTTTAGTCCGTAGGTATGAGGTAGGTAGGTATTCATATGTTGACTACCCACATTTATATATCACACATTTATTAACAGGCATAGGGTCTAGTTAGTTTAGGCTGTTTAGAGTATACACTGTATAGTAACCGATGCGAGCGGAGAGGACTATTTATCAAATATATCAACCTATATGAAACTTTAAAAATATTTGTTTTGAACTATTCCGGTTGCATGCTGCTCAAGTGAAAGAAAATTCTTTAAATAAAATATGATTAAGGGGATTCGAATCAGACGGTATTTTCTACCAAAATAGAACGTTCCTATCGTATGCCAATTTAGCATAGGTAGGTCTACCGAGACTTCTACCGACAATCTTAAAACTTCTGTAAACATATAATATGTATTTGAATTCGTGGTGAATTTAACTCGAAAATGTTCTTCTTTGAAATTTTATTCTTAAAAATTGCTTTTTGAGTTTTTGATCTTTCAAAATTAAATTTTAACTTTTGAATATTAAGAATTTTTAAATGTTTTTAATAAATGAATAAATTGATTTTTAAATGTAATAAAGTCGATTTTAAGCAAACTTTATGAAATATTTAAATATGTTTTCAGAAATTTTATCGGATGCCTAAGTTGGACAATACAATTTGCAAAAGATTGAAACTTTTGACAAAAAAAAACTAACAAAGCAATTAATATTCGTGTAGCGTGTTATTAACATCGTGAGTGTGCATGCTACGCTTTTTCATAACACAGCCACCCAATATATTATAATAATTATCACGCCTTACATGTTTACATTTAGGCAATCAGCACGCAGTCACCACGTACACGTTTAGAAAATTGCCTATACAGAACTCCTGAAAACGGGTGGTTCTGACTAAATTCATAATTAGATGTACTGTGAAGCAGAATCGTTAAAATGGATAATGGCAATATCATATATTTAATAGTTATGACTTATACTCCCATTGAACAAGAATCAGACTGGAATATTAACTTCGAAAATGACATAGAATCATTAAGAACACCTTAAGGTATTGTTGTATTCAAATTTTAAAACATTTTGCATTGATTTTTACATTTTTCATGATATAAATTAGTATAGTTATAAATAACCTATAAATATTAATACATAGTATACGTACTATGAAAATTATAATTTGTTGTGATATTTATACACTTAAACTTTTTTGTTGCTAACTGCTATTATAGCCTGTAGGTAGGTATGTATATTTAGAAACTACAATTTTGCTTCTATATTATTAGTTTTAATTGCCATGCCAGTGTGTGGTTTGTATTAAAAAAAACATATATCAAGTCAGACTATAAGATAATAAGACATAGTATAGGTTTAAATAAGTTAAATAATTTAAATATTTATATTATTACTTCAGTCATAGGTGATAGTAGTTTAGGACTTTGCAGGGAATTGGGGAAATAATCTATTTTAAAGCTTATATGTTTTATGATTGCACTTATTTAGGTACGAAATATCTTTTTTGTCACGCCTGTACCAAAAGTGTAATTGTTTTGTTGGTCGAAGTATTAAAAATGACCCTTTACCACCCAGTGGACTGTAAATAGTTTTTTTTCGTTGACAAAAAGTTCTGTCGATAAATCAGATTAATATACATGGCACATGCACATGACACGTATCGATACATTTTATCTAATACATCAAATACTATATTGGCCAGGTGGGTTATTCACATGCTGCTCTATGAAAACCCTAAATCCAGCTTTGAGATTAGTACATTATGGAATACCATAATATATTGATACCAGCATTTTCAGAGGCACCATAGTCGTGACAAAAGTTGTATGTAGAGAAGGCAGCCTTTGTCTGAAGTCACAAACGTCGTCTTAGACTGAAAAAGCTCACTTCTAGCCCTTGTCGCACAATGTATTATGTTTCAGACAATAACTATACATTAAGCATCCATCATCAACACCTATGCAAGTAGATACAATAGGACAAATATTTCAACACACCACACTCCCCAGCTATAGGTAATATAATATAGGTAAATAACAACCCTGCTTGTGGGCATTTTTAATTTTGACTTTTCTTTTATCACATATATTTTTAATAGGTATAGCGTTCAAAAATACCTCAAACATTTTTTTGTCCGTCAATTTCTTTTGTAACACGTCCAGGAAGTACTTGTACTCGCCATCTCTGATCGACAGGCCCCGGACGGCCGTGATCGCATTGTAAATGCCCACCGACCATGTTTGGCCATCGCTTTTGGTTTTCGGTCGTAGTTTCCGTACATACCTGCACTCGTCTCGGTGTTCGGGACTGTCGGCACACTGGCGTCCACACACCGGCCACTGGCAACCACCCGGACATCCGATTGCCGTAATCAGTATATCGTAGCATACTGGACACACCGGGCTTCCGGTACTGTCCGTACCCATCGCTCTAGGCGAAATGATCAGTGGCACATCCACGAATATCACGTCACCCACACTGTAGTCTCGGGTGGCCACGATGCCTCGACCGGCCACTGTTGCGGTTCCAGTGCTGATCGTCCACCCACCAACCACGACATCACCACCGCTGTGGGATAAGTAATTCTTCACGCAATCGTTGATAGCGTCCATACCTATATTACTCGTATACCGTTGGAGTTCCACAGAAGTATAGCTTAGGTGTTTTCTAATCGTATTCGTTTTTAAAAATCTAAAAAACTAAAAAAAGAAAACTTTGTCATAAAAATAGTATGCCTGACCTCACCAAAAGTGGGTAAGTTAATGAAAAAAATTATTCAACTTTAAGAACATTAAATTATAAGTTAATGATTAAGTAAAAAGAAACCAAATATTCAACATAAAAGTACAAGTTTAAAGTTAATGTAGAGAAAAATGTTAACTTAACTTAATTTAAAGCATTTAATAAATTGTTTTAATTTAAATTTAAATCATACAGAAGTACAAATATTTATTAAATAATAGTATATTACCCACACATTAATACATTATCTTATCATGAAACATAGGTAACAGAAATTATAGTATTAGATTATTTTTTATTAAAAAAAGTGTGCACTGTAATTTACCAATGTAAAATGTGTAAAACATTTAAAACCAACGATTTCAAAAACTGAATTAATTTAATAGTCATTTAAATCAGTTTTTTAGTTACTTAATTAGAAAATTAACTTAAAAAAAATATGTTTTTAACTAATTCATATTGCCCACCGTTAAACATGGGTAAACGTTGCACCAGGTATATTATTATAACATACCTTCAGAAAAAAACTCGTACCTATGCGTGTCGTCAAATTACGATGGCTGCTTAGGTCACTTCACGATTTCTTCGGTATTAACAAACAGACGTAGATTCATCAAGTGTATGAAATAAAAATCTCTGCTACAGCTGTATTCAAATATGAGGTACCTACACCTAAATAACAATATACAATATATTTTGGTCTATTATAATATATTATAACATAACTATTGTCTATTTGTATAACAAATAAAACGTGATCACACTTTGAATTATGCTTGTAGTAGGTATAAATGTATAATTTATTATGTAAGCAGCTAATCTTTCTATTAGCGGTATGAAAGTATACTGAAATTACTCGTCGATTCATCCCGAGTCATAAATCGTCACGCGAAATGGCAAAGTGTCAGTTTTCTGGGCTGTATATAAAGCCGCAAGTGTGACCAGGACTATCGATATCGAAATAGATCGTCGCCAGCAATAATTATGTGCTACGATGAAATAACTGTTAACGACGCCTGGATGATGGCCAAGCACTTTTCACGTAGATAGGAATCTACCAAGGGCTAAAATTAAATAAATTAACCGACCAAAATTGTTTTTTTTATGAATGTATGTCTTATCAAACACACAACCAAAAAATAAAAAATAAAAACTTATAAAGAACACGTTTTCTTTTTTTTCTTCAAAATACAGAGTGGGTGTATGGACTTTCTGGCAATAACCTGCTATTGATAAATATATAGTTTTAATTTACTTCTGTTTGGAAGATTCATCACATTTAACAGTACCTAGTCTTTATAGATAATAATAGCTATGCAATTATCTGGGTTCATAAAATACATAAAAGAGGTACAGTGGTACACATAAAATTCATTTAGATTATAATTGATAAATCAGTAATCACAATAGTTTATTATTAATAATTAACATTCATAATCGTACATAAATCAGTAATCACAATTTTAAACATATAGATACATTCATAAGTTATCATTAAATTGTAGTAGGTATACTATAATAATATTATCACACAGTTAAAAAAAATAAAAAAATAAATACAACAACCAAGTAAATAAAACAAATTGGCAATGATTATGATATTACATGACGAATAAGGAGATCATGAAATTATTAAATACTTAAATTATATATCTTAACATAAAAATGTATTAACATCTATTGCGACTGATATTGTTAGTTTTATATAAAAAAATAATAACAACAATTCAATAAATATTAATTAATAATAATGAGTTCACAGTTATTGTACTATAAATTAATTTAAGGCAATGACTTTTCGCATTGGACACAATCAATCAAAATATTATTAATGTTAAGTAGTGAAAACAGTAATACCATTATTATGTTTTAAGTAGTTAAATTTAATGTTGTTACATTAAACATAACTTTATCACATAAAACAAGTTTAAAAACTAATTAATTCATAAATGAAATATTAGCATAGATGATTAGATAATCAATAAAAATTTTTTTTTTCATAAAACAACCAAATAAATGTTTATTAAGAAATAAATTTTTTTAAGACAAATAAAGTCTATAGGCAAAGTAATCAATAATTAAAATAGAAATCAACTGTTTATTTTTCAAATTATGTCCTTCAATTAATCATAAGTTATAAGTTGAGATTAATTTTTGAATAATATTGAGTATATTTTTTAATAGAATATCATATTGATTGTCAACATAAAATGAAAAGTGAAATTGTTTATTTATATAAAAAGAGGCAAAGAACATAATTTGAATTAATCTTCAGCTAGTTAATATTTTAAAAATAAGTAAATAAAACACCAATTCCAAAACTTACTTTAAACATCAGTTTAAGTTATATTAGCTTAAATCAATAACATCTGATATGCACACCATTGCTTTTTAGATATTATTTCCACACAAAAGAAATCACAGAAAAAGTTATTTTACCTTTAAGTATTGCAGTGGAATATACAATATTATGAAATTGCAATGCATACACTCTGATTTCAAAAGATATTTAAAAAATCTTGTTTAAGTTTTTGAAATGAAAATCCTGAAAGAAAAGCGTTTGTTTGAGTATATAAAAAAAATAGTTTTTATAAAACTATTATCATTACATCTTGTTAATTTAATTGATAGTGTTTTTAATGTTTACATAAAATAATGTATTCATAAGTTTTTTAAATCTGGGATTGAAATTAAAGATAGAAGCGATTAATTTTTTGAGATTTGAACTTTACAATACAATGATCAACAATTTCTAACATCAAAGACCATAATTATTATTTTTTACATTAATGAAGTAAGTTTGTGTGAAAATATTTTTGGATATTTGTGTTATATTTGATTATGTAGATATTTTAAAACAATAAAATGATTACAAAACTTGAAACATTTGTTATATCTGTTTATAGGTAATAATTCATTAGGTTTTTATTGATACATTCAAATAAAATATGTTTTTTAATAGTTGTAGAACTCACTAGTAATAACTCAAGAGTCAAGAGACATAAACCTAAACCTATAGGTACATCATAAATCAGAGTCTAAATTACAATAGGTAATTTTGTATACGTTTTAAAATTAAAACTTTTGATACACAATTTTATTCTTGATTACTCTGTTTGTCGTGACTGAAATATTGTTGATGATATTCGTTTACTTGCAGAAAGCATTTGATTTTCTATTGGAATGTTCATAAAACGATGCAATGATGGGATAAATACATCGTCATTTTTTTTTGAGATTATTTTGTTTATTGTTACTTGATCACTATTTGAAGATGGGTAAAAATTCTGAGATGTTGGTTGTGGATTTTGTAACTCATCTTCATATAGTTCTTCAGCAATATTTTGTAATTTAGGTAATAACGGATTTTTGTTTATCAAATTCGAACAAAGACCTGTAAAACATAATATAGTTATTTTAATGTGTGTGTTGTATGTTTACATTTAAAACAATAGTAAATCATGTGATAGTTTAAAAAGCAAACTTAAATTTAAAGCAAAATTTATGGATAAAATATTTTTACACAAATAATAACTTAAAACTTTTTTATAATGATTATCTAAAGAACATTTAAAATTATTTGATATAAGTTAATAGTATAAATATTGCATACTGAATAATAAAACATATAAGTGAACACATTGGTAACAAGGAATACAATTTATAAACATCAGAAATCATTTGATGGCTATAAAAACATTGAAGGATCTGTAAAAAATTAAAAAAATTACGGTTTCTTTTTCCAAAGAGTTAAATGGCTGTATAGTAACAAAAACCTGATTGAAAAACCCTCTTTTGTAATACCAATAGTATTCCGGCTTCAATGATTATAGGAACATAAGTTTGTTTTACAATAATCTGATTTATAACTTACATTACAGTCTAATACCTATCATAGTTTACACAAGATTTAAATAATTGTAAAATATGTACAAAGGTGTCATGCCATTGATGATGTGGTAAGACCACTTGATTTGTGAACCAGTTCCTATTGTATATATGAAAAATAAATAAATAATTATAAATTATAATAAATAAAGGGTCTTACGTTTTTGAATGTAACTTGGATTACGAAATTTTGGATGTTTTAGCCATCCAATAAGATTAACATTATTATGTTTTCTAATCCAAACTCTATTTTCTTCATCATCAGAATATAAACCATCTTCAGTCCATTTTAAACAAAATAATGGCCACAGTTTGTTACCAAAAAATGTACCAAAATATTCAGCACATACTTGTCTTACAGCTTCTTCCGTTAAGACACTTGAACGACTTCTTATTAGAAATTTTTTACATTCCTGTAACATATATTTACTTATTAAAATAAATATTTTTTGATATTCAAAATGCAGTTTAATGTAACTAAAAAAAACTATAATTTATTCTTGATTAGTTGAATTATAGTTATATTTAATGATTTATGAATCAGTTGTTTGAAACTTCATACAATTAAAACACACTATAATACAATGTACCCTCATAATTAATTTATTAATAAGTTACAACACTTATTTTAGTATAATACTAATGAATACCTACAACAATTGTGTTGGAACATTTAATAATGAATAATAATGACTTTGATATATTGTCGGCTTGGAACAAAAAGTCACTAATGACTAAAAGTTAAATGAAGGGAAAAAATATAAAAGGTTTTTCATTCTCTAAGATTATTTTTCCTATCTTCCTACTAATTCAATAATGAGGAATTTTTATTTTTTGGATATTGAGATTATTTTATCTCATGGTATTTGATAAAAATATTAATAGCATTTTATTATTTATAATAATAATAGACATAAATGTGCTATAAATACCATTAGCTAGTTTTTACAATAGTAAGAGTTGGAACATATTTAGGCTCATGGGTTGACAAAAGTAAAAATCAATAATGGCATATTTGACAATAGTAAATTATTAACTATTAATACATCTCTATTTTGAATTAAATAATTGTAATCTTATAATAATAGTAATTTAAAACATATTACTATAGTGCACAATATTATTTCAAACTTATTTGTGTACTTTTCTATATACTTATGAATGTCAGTATTTTCTCTGATGGATTAACATTGTTTACTGTTTAGTATTGGCTAACAAATTTTAATATGGCAAGAGATCTATTATATTTTTGTATTAAGGAAATAACAGTATAAAAACTTGGAATAGTTTATCTTATACAAATTTAAACAAGTGTTTTAATTATCTGTAAAGAAATAATGATATAGAAAACAAATAATACTGATTTTATTCGAAGTAACTGTATATTTTTTTTTAAACTTATAATTCTTACTTTAAGTTTGACTGAAATTTTATGAGAAAAAAACATCAATACTTATGAATACCTAAATAAAAATAAACTTAAAAGATCTTTGAAATGATCATACACTAGAGGATATGAATAAATAAATTAAATGTATTTTAATTTAATGTTAATATTGGTAGAACATAATTTATTAAAAGTTTCATTAGAAGGTTCTACTCATTGATAATTATAATCAATCAATCTAAATATGCACAAAAATTATTCATGGAGAAATTAACTATATTCATGCCCATTATTATAATTTAACATTTACTTAATATTATTTTTATCAGAGTCATTCGAAACAATAACTCATAATCAATTAAAAAATATGTTAACTATCATATCAGTTGGAGGTTGAGAATAAAAAACTTTAATCCACATCATTTTAACTTTTTGTCATTAGTGAATTTTCATGCTAAGCCAACAAAATTGCATAAGTTCTTATAGAATAAGTAATAGTAGTTATCAAACTATATTATGGCTTAAGTTAATTTAAATAAAAAATATTACTAAAAATTATACTTTTCTTACCCTTAACAAATAAAATAACCTATAAGTAACTTCGGCTTGTACAGTTTCCAATGCTTCATCAGTTAGGTCAAGACTTGGATTATCTTTATGAGATTTGCTATTGATTTCATCCATACAAATTTTTATAGATCTTTCTGTAATAACTAGATGACTAAGTCTTTCACTTAGTGGAATTGGATTAATTTTTGAATTGGCAATTATTTCACTATGAGTTCTAGATACGGGTGGACGAGTTAAAGGAACACGGGTTGGGAATGAATTTGGGCGTACAGGAAGTGGTGTTTGTCTGGGCAAATTTTGTCTTGGTAAACTTTGACGTGGTGAACTTTGCCGGGGAGAACTTTGTCTAGGTGATGTTTGCCGTTGTGTAGTTTGTCGCGGAGAAGTATTTCGCGCTGTATTATTTCGTGGACCTGGAAGTCGAGGAGGTGGCAAATTTCTTATTACCTGTGAACATAAATTAGATAAAATTAATCAATCAATGATAAAACATATTTTAAATTAAATCATGTTTGACTTACTTGTGATTGAATATTTACAGGTTTTAATATTAGTCTATAATCAACACCTCTTCGTGGGGACGAAACCATAGTTGCTCGATAGTTTGATGGTAAGATAACTGATCGAATAGTTTGATGTTGTCCAATACGTATATTATTATCAATACTTGGTTGTGAGTTATTACGAGTAAGTATAGTTCCAGGTTTTTGAGATATTGGAATTTGCATATAATTTGTATTGTGTTGTTGAATATTTGAAACTGGAGTACTTGATGTGCTAGGTTTACTTTCAGTTGAATTAATTCCCTTAAGAACAAAATAAAATTAAAATTATTAAAAAATGATATCATGAAAATTGAATAAATATAATTAAATAATATCATGCTTTGATAGAATATTTTTATGCATAACACATAATAAATAAATAATTAATGCACTGTAAAATGTTTATATTATTATACACAAAATAATATTTAAAACTTAATATATTAAGTTGGATACATATAGTAATACTGTACTTTTCATAAATTGTTTGTTCAAGCTGTAAGAACTTTATTAAATAAATAATAATACCTAATAAATAAGAAGCTTAAATTTTATTTTTAATAAAAATACTAAATCGGTATCCAAAAATGTAAATAATTACTTCTAATTATTAATTAAATAAAAAAATACAATTTTTTAGATAAAATCTATTAACAGTATTTAAAAACCAAATAATTGTTTTAAAAAAATATTACACTGTAAAATTTTTTTAATGTATAAGTATTTTTATTCTGCATTTAAATATTAAAATAAATTAATACTTGTATAATAATACAGTGTATTCCTATATTATATAAATAAAATAGGATTTATATCAATTGTTTTTAATTTTTATAATAATTATTATTGTAAGAGTAAATAAGTGTTATTGGACTAATATTAAAAATAATATGATGTAAGTATAAAATCCCTAAAATAATAATTATTTTAATCTACAAAATGAATTAATTAATGTATATACTTCTATGATTTTGTCTTACTTGGGTTGTTACATTAACTGAGTTTAGAACTAATTTACAATCAGTGCCTTGCTGTGGAGAAACAGCCGTTCGGTAATTTGATGGCAAAATTACTGAACGAATTGATTGATGCTGAGATTTTTGTTGTTGAGCATCAACATTAGATTTTAAAGTGTTAGTAGATAACGCAGTCCCAGGCTTTTGCATCAATGGTATTTGCATATAATTCGTATTAACTTTTTGTAAACTTGATATGGGGACGTTTTTAGAACGGGACCAATCATTTGATGTTAGTATATAACTTGTGCCGGGTTTTTGTTCATTCAGCTCTAAAAAATTATCATTACATACATTTATTGATTACTTGACTTTTTAATTGTATTTAGTTACTTACTAGGTCGAAAAGAAATCTTTGTTGTGTCATTTCCTTTTATTTGACTGTAATATGTGGCATTCAATCTAGGAAAATTTAAACCAGTCCTTTGAAATATTGGAGATGTACATGTGTTTACACCAACTGTTCTAGACATCGTAACACTGGACCCAGCTAAATTAATACATAAGTATATTATAGTAAGACATTTTAAAAATTTCTATATGTATTAGGTAGGTACTTTAATTATAGATATTATATTATACATTATTAACAATAGTGAACATTGCAATTAATTTAAGTTGGTAGATATAAGAAGTTTATTAAACAATACAAAGTTAAATAGAACCAAGCATATTATGTACATAAAAGCTTCTTAGTCTTATGAAATATTTTTTACTCACAATTGTTTTCTGTGTCAGTTGAAACACTAGTTATTGAAGATTGTGTTACTAATGGCGATTTAATACTAGAATTTGTTTTTTGGGTACTCGATGTTAAAATGTATTGTGTATTAGATTTTTGTTCTCCGGCTACTGTGGTGGTTACAATATTGTTCATCCTGACAATATGAGCACCAGATGGCAACATGTAAGTAACATTTGACTGTTGAGTGCTGGGCGACACAACGTGCTTAACGTTGTTTGTGTTCACATACTGAGGTATAGTTGTTCGAGTAGTTGACTGGACTACATACTGATGGGTGACAGGAACCTGTGAACTTGCAACAAGCGTGTAGTTGGTAACAGGCCTCAGGTTACTTGACGTCAGCACATAGCTATTGGTTGGTGGGGAAATTATTGTAGATGCCATTTGAGTCGTTTGTACTTGACAGTTGACTGTCGTGGGTGTAGGAAACGTAGAAGAGCTACAACAGCTTGGTCGTGGATTTATTTGATCCATATCTTACAGTCACTATCAAATGACAGTGGATATTGTATCCACCGAGAGAGCTGATTCGGACATATTAGTAAAATCAAATTAAAACAAAGAAAAATAAATACGTTGACCAAGTATGGTCGAAGACATTGAATTTGCGTGTGCCAAAAACGTGAACAACAGGCGTTGAGACAATAATAAATGGTTAAAAAAATTCGAAAGGGACGAATTAAAATGTTGTACGAAATCGACGTATACTGTAACCATTTGAAATGTTGTAGTAACTTGCACATGACCGATACTGGTATCACACGTTGCGGTGTTGTTGATAAGAGGCTCGTCCAATGAAAAGGTATCGTCTCGAACGCACCGGCAATTAATGTAGCATAGATAAATGCTTTATTGATAATAGCCGGTGCAACTACAACAGGACTGTATCCATAGTTAAGTGTGACGGCAACTTTTTGCTAACCAAAGTCGTCGTCGGGTAAAAAACTAAAAAAAGTAATGCCCAACAATATTATCTAACCTAAATAGATATTAAGCACTTATCCGTTGTGAGCTGCGATGCCTAAAAAGAAATAATAAACGATAACAAAAAAAAAACAAGTATACTTATCTATGAAGAAACTGTTCGTTCTGTTATTTTAAATCAGTTTGGTCTTTACGTTTTAATATTTGTCTCTACTCATAATATTTTGGTAATTACCTTCCTAAATATTTTACGAAATTTAAGAAACATCCGTATATTGCAGAAAGACCATACTATTATGGTATATTATTGCAAGTTACAATGGTTATAATATCTATTATCTAGGTAAATATTAAAATATGTAATATTAGAACAATAATATTTTGGTGATCTGAATTTAATTCTGTATACAATTACTATAATATAATTTGTTTGGTACTTTATAATATCTTAACAGATGAAACTATTTATACCTAGCCTTTTGTGGACGTTCTTGTCTTTTTACTTTTGGTCAGTGCACAACTACTAAGTGTGCATTTCACACTGGCCTCCATCCCCTTAAACTTTTTAGAGGACTTCATAATGATCCATCAAAAATTTAAATGTCGGTATCATGGTTAATGACAAAAGTGAATAATGTGTTTAATTTATACTTAGTTAACCGCTTTTTACATTTTATACAATTCTAGAAAATAAATCTTTTAATAAATAAATAATATGTAACAATAATTTAAAATTGTTTAAAACTCGCCCTTTAGCACATATTTACTTATATAATTATTAGTAATTGAAATACCTTTATTAACTATTATTATTATTTAGCACTTGAAACTTGTTACTACTTAATTATTTTTCTGTAGGTACTATGCATGCCAAATGTTATAAATGGAAATAACTATGTATCAGCAAAGACGGGTATTGGCGTGGAGAGCAGCCACCTGAAGTCTTATTTTTTAAGGTGGACACCAAAACATGGGCCAAAAAAGGCTCACCTAAAGTTTTTACCACCGAAATGCTGGATTTGGAAGCATTATCACAACAACGTTATCACATCCCAGAACTCAGGAAATGCATTAAGTATTTAATCTATATATTCAATTTTAATTTTCTGTTTGAGAATATGTTTTATTTTTTAATATTCTAGTGTGTATACTTTTCAAGTGAAGCAGTTGAAGGGGTGGTTGTTCAAAAATAGTAGTTATATCAGTTAAATAAGTCTGAGCACACCTATGTGTATAAGTGCTGTATATCACGGGTTTATCCAGTAAACATTTAATTAAATTACTACTATAATGTGTCTATGTATAATTCAATAATTGTTACTTGTTTAATTGTTACTGTATTTTAAAACATTTTATTGACACACATTTGAGTTTTAGTCAAAAGTTCATGTCAGCCCGTGTAGGCCATATTTTATGTGAACAAACAAAAATTATCTATCTTTATGATCCCTTACTTACATTGTTCTCCACTTGCAATATGTTTTTAAAACTCTCTTAAAGTTGGTGATGAACCAACCCCAACAGTAAATTTTTAACTTATTTTTACAAGGATGATTCAAAATTAAATTTTAATTATTTCCAATATTCACCAAACACGATTGTATTTTAGACCTAGATAGTATAATAGATTATTTAAATCCTGAGCAAATAAACAGTTCAAATGTAATATTACTTAAAGAAATACCAATTGTTTCCTAAACTTATGGTATAGGCTTAAAAAGCCTGAGAATTATTACTGTGAAGTAATTTTTTTCTCGATATAGTACACCATATCAATCCCCCTCTCCCCATAAGAGGTATACAATTTTAAATAACATAATTGTAGAAAATACATACACTAAAATACTGTTGAAGTATTTTACTTTTAACATTTAAATATATATTTAAATATTAATTAAATACTAATAATTATATAACGTATGATTATTGAAAACAATAGTTTTGATTTTATAGACTGGTAACACTATTGCTACTCTGCAAGATGGCTGTCACGATTTTCGTACCATGCTGCATGTGTTAATTTTTATCGACTCGGCCAATTGTCCAAATTGTGTAAGCAAAATCATTTTATTAAATCAAATTAATTTGTTCTGTGGTTGAATAAAAAATGTAGCCTTATCTCTCATGAGTCTTGTGTATTTATACTGCAATGTTCATTAAATTTGGCTCGGGAGATTCATATAATTTTTGTGATTTTTGTCTATATATAACTTTAGTTATGGATCACAGTCTGTATTATAACAAAACATTCTAAAAAATTTAATACATAAGCCACACGGATACATACATATATGCAGGAGGCGTTAAATGAAGCTTCTATAAATATTGATAAACCAACATTTTTTAGTTTTCCAAATGATTCTGCTAGGTAAGAAATATTTAACTTAATTTTAAGTACCATTTTAATAATATTAATATCTTACTAATATTGCAGATGTGATATTTGGATCAAATCTTGAACATTTGATGACATTAAATGACTATTTCTGCACATATGTCCAATTCTCAATGTTCAACACCTGGTAAGTACAATGATTAAATTATTAATATTAAAGTATCATGTTATTATTATGACTCATTGTTAAAATTTCTTTTAGTACCATTTCTTTAGCTATGTAATGTATCAGAGTCTGTTTTTGAAGTGAGAACTGAAACGGTTTCTTCAGGCGCTCAAACTCCGAATTCTTTATTTGCCCAATATTTCTACAGAATCTTTAATTGCAAAAAAATCGATGCTCTCTGCTCAAATACAGAAGTTTGAAAAACAATTGGCAAAGACAAGTGCAGTAGATACTGCTGATCTCAACCACGGGGCTGTCAAAAAATAAGTTACAATAATTTTATTAATATAAGTTATGTAAGTAAAAAATAAAAATTAATTAAGAGTAAGTTAGAGTTTATCTTAAATTAAAGTTAAATTGAAAAAATTAAAAAATGTAAGGTAGTTTGAGAGGGTGGGTAACAGTGTTGCCAGGTTTTGATAATAATATTATCGCATACTGTCTTCAAAATTATCATATTTTTTAACAAATTATCGTACATAAAAATTTTTGTTTGTACCATGAAAATAAGAAATTCACACAACACACATTTTAAAATAGGTAGGTAAGTCGGTATTACTACTCTACTTTAGGCATTTTGTTATTATTACTCTGAATTTTTAACAACAATTAAATTCTTTCACCTTGAAATCTTAAATTTAATTATTTTAAGTTATTATTCTTAATTTAATTTTTATACCTACAGAAAAACACAAATGACCAAAATAACATATTTTTATTAACAAATAACTGTTCATTAAAATATTAATTAATAATAATACAACAAAAGAATTAACTTTTTAGGAAAAAATATAATTTTAAAATTAACAAAGGTACACTTGAACTAAATTATGTTGGCATATAAAATAAAAAATAACATGATATTAAATAATATAATATTTTCAATAACAAACAACTGTTCATTAAAATATTAATTAATGATAATACAACAACAGAATTAACTTTTTAGGAAAAAATATAATTTTAAAATTAACAAAGGTACACATGAATTAAATTATGTTAGTGTATAAAATAAAAATTAACACATATTATTATTTATGAATGAAACAAAGCACTCGGATCAATGAAATCTTCATTCAAATTTTGTTTGGTATATAAATTATTTGTATTCATTAATTTTAACATTTGTTTTGGTGGTTTAAATGTAACACGGGTATTTTTATTGATTTTTGTACCGTACTGTCCATACTGGATACCTTCACTTGCCATAAGTATACTATAAACAGTTTTTTGAATGAGCTTATTTCTACCTTTAGTCTTAGTTCTATTTATTTTGCTAAATATGCGCTCACAATCAGCGTTTGAGTGAGGTAAAGAGAGAACAGAAAGTGCAAATTGAGCCAAGTCACTAAATATAGTAGTATCGCTGTCATCTTTAAATAATAATAATGAAGACCAAAAATGGTCTGTTTCTTCAACTTCGGTGATATATTTAGGAAAATCATAAGTTACTAATAGTCGCCATTGGTCATCTAAAACTTGAATTTGGTCTTCTAAATTTGGATCAATAATCCTTGGCAAGTTAGAAATTAGTTTTAAAAGTGATGGTACTTTTTCATGAGTAGCATAATATGCCAATGCATTTGTAGGACTGAAGATGTAAAGGTGAGGTAGTATTTTATCAGAAAAATCATACCTTTTTTTTATTTGAATACAACCTTCTACAAGGAAATTTGAACATCGCTCATAAAAGTCGGATAACAGATCTGGCCTTTTGGTGATCTCCGGTTTACTGATGAAATTAATCACTTTAACACCTTTATAAAATAAAAATGATCAATAAGTTTAAGTATAATGTGTAATTTTATATTTCTTACCTAAATATATATCCTTAGATTGAAGATAATATTTTCTATCAGTTATATTTATTTCTTCTGGAGGTGTGTGCATAATGTAAGAGCTTTGCATGAAACATAGTAGCAAATCTTTATAAGCAGCCATTATTCTTTCATGTAATTTATCCAATATGACTTTTTCAGATTGAAAATATTTATTTAGTAATGTGAATTTAGGCAAAACCCATTCCATAAATAGATAAAAAGCTTTTGTAAATGGGTCATTTAGTTGCTCACAAATAATTCTAGTTGATGCTAATTTTTCACTCAACCATTTGTCATTAAAGAATAATCTAAGAGCATCCCATTGTTCTATGATTCTATTAACTACAGATGTTAATGATAACCATCTTGTAGCTGAAGGATGCAATATTTTATGGTCTTGTAAGTCAAGAAATGACTGAAATTGATACAATTGGCTTTGCCGTTTTGAGCTATGACTGAAAAAGTTATAAATTTGACGAACCAAGTCTTCACATCTTGTAGGTAACTTTTTGCAGGCTTCACTACATGCAAGATGTAAACTATGACATATACATTTCATTAAATATACACCAGGAAAATTTAATTTAATTTTTTGTGATACGGAGTTATGAGCTCCAAACATAGTATTGCAACTGTCCGAACCAAATCCGATTATATTTCTAAGTGGTATGGTATGTTGAGTAAATGTTTTAATACATGTATCAAATAAATTTTGTGCAGTTGCTCCTTTATCTTCAGAGTTGGTTTTGTCGTGTAATTGAACTAAGTCCCAAAAACGACTAACAATTTCATTTTGACTAGGACAGTAAAACCTCACAATTATACACATGGTAGACGAACAGGAAATATCAGTAGACTCATCTATCATCACAGAGAATTTTGTATTTTTTAAAGTATCTACTAAACTATTTTTGGTAAATGGTGAAATAACATTAGTAACAACAGCAGTAGCTTTAGTTCGCTTAAGTTTAATGTTTTGACATATTTGTGAATCGGGAAAAATACTTTTAAGTAGACTGTCGAGATGTTCCGTGGCATTAAAAGCAATATTATGCTCTACTAAAAATGCGCACAATTTAATTTCAGCCGATTTTACATTATCATCTAATAATGTAGATTCATTTGATAAAAATGATTCTTTAATAGTATTTTTAGTATCTCTAATATTTTGTTTATGTTTTTTTCCCTGGCTATGATTTTTTATAACTGTTAGTTCGGATGTCATAATAACATTGCATTTTGAACAACAAGCTTTATACTCATCACTATCAGGTCTTAACCAATTTTTGAATTCTGGTTTAGTTACCCAACTCTTTTTAAATTTTTGTTTTCGATGCTTTCCTTTTTCTGCTCTTTTCAGTTCACCACGAATCGATCTTTTATACTTCGGAGTAGTACATCTAGCATTTTCTTCTTCCTCGTCAGAAATTGGAGTTGAATTATTTAAAATCTAAAAAATTTAAAAGTTTTAATTTAAAAAATAAATATTCTAAAATTGTTGAAAATAGTTTTCATACTTGCTGAATTTCCAAAGTTTGGTCTTCATCTGAACTTTCGATGACCATAAGAAATCTATCCATGTTCAAAATCAAAACTCAATAAAATAATTAACAAAATTTAATAACGTCAGTTACTGTACGAGTACGCTAAACACACACAAGTCCACAGTGCAACACAGTAAAACAGACAGTAGACACGCGTTTTAATGATATAAATTATAAACCAACTAGTCCAACTATGTAGGTATTTAATACTTTTATATATATTTATTTATATAAAGTACCAATAGCGAATAACGATAGTGTTTATACCGTTTATGGTCTATGTTATCGTTATTTTATCAATATACTATATAGTGTTAAAGTGTAACCTAAATACTTGTAACCATAGACAATTATGAAAGAATAAAGTCTGGGAATTATTATTTTTATTTTAAGAATTTGAAAATTATCGTATTTTTGCGTACGATACTGAAGTTGCTATCGTACATCGTATTTGACCTAAAATTATCGTACAAATACGATATATATCGTACGACTACCACTGGGTAACCCCACATATTATGGACATTAATTTTAAAAGTTGAAATTCAATGGTTTTCACTATTATTTGTTGTCTTCAAAGTATTATATTTTATAAGTATTATATTTGGTCAGAATGTAATAAATGGTTGTAGTATTGAATTATAAAATAAATAAATAAGCAAGGAAAAAACATCGCCTTTAGATCACTTTAATAGTTTATTTTTATTATAACATAATAAGACAACCATTACTTGTAAGACACCATGGACTACGTAACAAAAATTGTAACGAACAAATTACAACAAGAAGTAGGTACATCATAAAAAAAATATAGAAACATAACCTCATAAAATAAAACGTTTTAGGAATTGTGTCTAACTTCAACACTCCCCTTCAATTCCTGCATTAAACAATACAAAATTAACAATATACATTATACAAAGAATAGAAATAATTAAACATGTAATCCAATTTATAACAAATTATCCTTGAATTTATTTGTAGGTAAGGATTTTGTTGGCATATCAGCTTCTTGATCTGTTGTATGAATATATTTTAACTGCACTGTTCCTTCTTGAACTTTTTCTCGAATATAATGATGTTGTATATCAATATGTTTAGTGCGTTTATGGTATTTAGGGTTTGATGCTAAATTTTATGCAACTTTGATTATCTTCATAAAGTAATGTAGGTTCACTAACATTTAAGTTTAAAAATGATATAAGACTCCTTATCCATAGTACCTCACATATCGCATCACTCACAGCCATGTACTCTGACTCTGTTGACAAGATTGCAACCGTTTGTTGTTTTCTAGAATACCATGAAATTGTACAACCATAAAGTTTAATCAGATATCCTGTAGTAGATCGGCAATCATTGATATCATTACCCCAGTCAGCATCAACATATACAGACAAAACTTGAGGCATATTTATGCTTTTCTTGTAACAAAGTTTGTGATTAAGACTACCTTTAATATAACTTAGAACACGTTTCAGATGTATCCAATGTTGTTCAGTTGGATGAGATTGATATCTCCTAAAATAACTAACAGCATGACATAGGTCTGGTCTTGTCCCAAGCATTGCATACATTAAACAACCAATTAATTGTTTATATGGTTTGTCACAAATTTCATCATTTTTATCATAAACTAGATTTAATTTGTGTTCCATAGGTGTTGATATTGGGTGGCTGTCTTCCATGTTAAATTTTTTTAAAACATTTTTTAAATATTGTATTTGATCAATTTCTAATGTGTCGTGATTTCTTTTTATGTGAATGCCAAGAAAAAAATTCAATTCACCACCATCAGTCATATCAAACTCCTTCTTAAGGTTATCTTTAATATTATTAACTTCATATAAATGTTTACTGGCAATTAATATATCATCAACATATAGAATAAGATAACTCAAACCTTCATCAGATTGGGTATTAATATATAAACAATAATCATTATCTGATCTTTGGAAACCTAGTTTGGTAATATATGTATGAAATATTTCATTCCAGCACTTACTTGCCTGTTTCAGTCCATATAGAGATTTATTAAATTTATATACATATTTTGTGTCCTTATTGTCTTTGAATCCTTCTGGTAATGCCATGTAAATTTCTTCATCTAGGTACCCGTTCAAAAATTCTGTCTTTACATCCATTTGATGTTGTCGATGTTGTCTTATTCCTTTTCAACAGCTATTTTATAAGCAAATGGTATAGTACCGTGTTAACAGAAAATTGGATTCACATCACCATTCAATTCTAAATGAATTTCAAAATTTTTATATTCACCTAATTTATTATCAAAAACATCATTAAATTAATTTAGCAGTTGATTTATTTTGTCATTTTTAATACTTTCCACACTGTTGATATTTTTACCAATTTGTAAAAAGGAAATATTAAATAGTTTCATAAGGTCTATCAAATAAAGAATAATAATTAAGTGAATTTTTTACTATCAATAATTTAGCTTCTACACTCTTGTCTTTAAATTTTACTCTTGCATTAAATTCCCCAATTGGTCTTAAAGAAGTGCTATAAAAAAAATTGAGTTTAGTATCAACTTTTTCCAATTTCATATTTGGCCATTTCTCTTTGAAAATACTCTCAGTCAATACTGATCTCACCGCACCTGAGTCAATCTCCATTTTAAAGATCTTATTATTAATTTAAACTGAAATTAATTCATGGGGTATGTGAGTATCGGGTTTCATATTAAACAAATTAAATTCATCTAAGCCGTCAACACGGTTGCCATTAGTAACTTCTACATTCCCTATCAACTTTTTATTTTTACATATAGTTGCCAAATGCCCTACCTTGGAACAAATTTTACACATATATGACTTATACTTACAGCTGGTAAATTCATGATTTTGCTTGCCACAATGGAAACAGGAACTTTTACTGTTTTTTTGGTTCGCATCTTTCTGTGAATGTTGATGGTTGTGTTAACTCCCTTAAGTAGCCTCTCCTCCCTAAGTAGGCTAACAGAAGAACAACATAAATTGAATAACACTTTTCTTGATATTGAAACACATTTATTAGTATAAGTATACACGGTAAAGTAACGGTCTGGCCTGGGGACAACCTAGTCTCCAACAGTCTCCAACGCAGGTCTCCAACCAACTGTCTTGTTATACATAATTCTTATTACATGAAATTATCCCTGGGTATTGGAGAAAGATATGATAAATAAATATATAGGTATTTTACACTCAGTCCCCCTAATGATCTTATGTCCTCATAGGGTTTTACTTGGTTACTACATAAAATAAAAGAATAGTGGAACAATTACAATTTCAAACCTAACCATCTTATACCCCTCATTTTGTAACATAAAAAAAAGCATAATAATATAAATATATAACAAAATTATAAATCATAGAATACAAACATAATAAATAATGATACATCCCGGCCACCTTGAAGCTACTGGCTTCAAATTGAGGCTGGTAAAGGAAAAATCTTCACAACTGGTCTGGTTATTTCAGTGCCGCTTGGTGTCCGTAAGGTGACACTACTCCATCTTGTCCTATATGTGTTGTTATGACTCTGGAGAGTCGCCAAGAGAGTGGAGGAGAATTGTCTTCCTTCAGCACAGCCAGAGTACCAATTTCGATCTGGGAGGGTGATTGTATCCACTTACTCTTGCCTTGAAGTGAAGACAAGTATTCTTCTCTCCAGCGTTTTCAGAACAGTTGGAATGCTTTCTGTACTAATTTCCACCGTTTTAGTCGGTTTGAGGGCATCTCTGTGACATCCTTATCTGGCAGTGTTAGTAATGGAGCCCTGCTAAAAAGTGACTAGGTGTGAGGTGTTGATGATCTCCAGGATTTGAAGATAAGGCAGTTAAGGGCCTTGAGTTGAGGCATGCTTCCACTTGTGTCAACAGTGTGGTAAGTTCTTCGAAGTTGAAGTGAGAAGAGTTCATAGCACAGTATAAGTGATGTTTGCAGGACTTCACTGCTGACTCTCAAAGCTCGCCAAAATGCAAGGCGTTGGGTGGGATGAATACCCATTGGATGCCATCGTCCACTAGTATTTCAGCTACTGATTTAGTGTTGGGTGTGCTTGTTAAGTAGTACCTAAGTTCCTCGCGAGCACCAACAAAATTAGTACCGTTTTCAGACCAAATTTGGCTAGGTAGACCGCGCCTTGAAGTGAGCCGGCGTAGAGCAGCTAGAAACGCTTCACTGGTTAGGCTGCTCACAAGCTCGAGATGAATAGCCTTTGTAGCCATGCATACAAATACTGCTATGTATGCCTTTACTAGTACAATCTTCCTCAGACCCTTCTTGACTTGGATGGGTCCTGCAAAGTCCACTCCGGTGATAGAAAACGGTTTGCTTGGCGTGACCCTTTGCTTTGGGAGTTGGCCCATTGGCTGTTGTAGTGGAATTGGTCGGGCTCTGAAACATTTCTGACATAAGTGAACAATCCTTCTGGCGTTGTCTCTACCACGGAGAAGCCAAAATTCACTTCTCATGTTTGATAGCAGTCCTTGAGGGCCTATGTGTAAGAGTCGTAAGTGAAGTGCTTGAAATATCATATTTGTGATGTTGTTTTTGGCTGGTAGCACTGCAGGATGTTTGCGTCCGAATGGTTCATCTGAATGCTGCAGTCGACCACCTACGTATAGGACACCATCCTTCATAAATGGAGAGAGATATTTTAATGGACCCTTGGTTATTAGACCAC